TCCCCATGTTAATTCCTCATTCCCACATTACTGCACTGAACAATGCTGAACATTGTCTACAGCTAGTGATCTCTCAGTTTTTTTAAAAGAAACTATCAAATGTAAAGTTGAAAAAATTAATTTGATATGAAAAATCGTAGTGTATTAGATTCCCTAAACTTTGTATGCAAAGAAATAAATGCACCTGAATGTGAATTAAATATTTTATTCTCAAAAAACAATCAAAAGCTCTGTGGCCATTCATGCAAAATTCTAAAACAGGCAGATACATTTTCTTTCCCTTACTTTCATGTGAGTATCCAGAGCAGCTCACAAGTTTTCCAACAAAATGTTTTGTGACAGAAAAGCGGTTTCTGCAAAATCAAAATTTCCACAGGGGAAATTTATTGAGTTTCTTTTCTCTTGCTCTGGGGAAAATAGAATTTAAATGTTTAGCTCTGAAATGTCTTTGAAGTATCTGAATTACCCTCAAGCCGAAAATTTCAGTTTCTTGGATCTATAAATAACTTGCTTAATTTCTCAGTCGTACGTTGGTGATGTTACCATGGTCCAGGGTCCTGGTGACAGTCGAGGGTCCCAGCACTTAATCCTGGAGGGCACAGAAAAGGATTCATTCTCATTTAATAATGTGAAACATTACCAAACATGACTGTCAATCCTTTGATAGACTGTGCATAGGGGGAAAGCATTTTATTTTCTGTCTTTTCAGAGAGAAGTGATAACAATTTGGAGTGTGATACAGCTTGGTAGCATTTAGTTCCCTATCAACGCGATTTCTTTTTACATTGCTCCACCACTTTGTCCCAGAAAACGATGACCAGTTCCATTCAGCACAGTGTCAGCTGTGGCTCATAGCGTGGACAGAGCCAAGTCGCAGTGCGGTACGATTTCAGATTTTTCATTATGGCCACTGGCAAATAAAATTACTGAATGATCAAGGAGGAATTCAAAGCTTTTGGACTTGAAAAGTGAGTTATTTAAACTCCGAGCTAATAATTTTTTATATTGTTATTATGTGCTATTTGCTACCAAATATTATTTATTTATTTATTGCATCCTACGATTATATATTATATTTCTTATTTTGGCCTCTGTCAATGGCTGTTTTGTAATCTGAATAATCTGAATCTCCATGGCAAAGAAAACTGCAAAAATGTATTTAATAATACAGGCACAAAGAATATTGTAAGTCAGTTGAAGTAAATAATTTGTGGATCCTCGAATTAATATCATAACCCAAATGCAGTTAAGTGGAAATAATACAGTTAAGTGAGGGCTTGTAAATCAAAGATTAAGGTGGTATTCCTTGTGGTTAGATCTAGTGGCCACCTGGCATCCTTGCTTTTTAATTCTCTTACGCTGAAAAGCCACGTACTCCTGCTGCAAAGGACAAAGAAATATATACAGATGTATGTGTGTGTGTTTTGGAAATGAACATTCAATGGCTGTTACAGGAATACAGGATCAAACATATGATTGATACTGTTCGATATCCCATACATGACAAAAGAAAGTGAAAGAACCTCTGCATAAGGGGAAGGCAAAAGTCTCCTTCAAAACTGCCATCCAAAATCCTAGCCGTTAGAGACTAACTTAAATCCAGTGTCTGAGATTTTATACAATTTTAGAAATGCAGTGTAGTAGAACAACAAAAAAGGTATTAACATTGGAAAATGAGCTAACTGCAATGTCTGCATTATCTGCTTTTTTTTTTCATATAAAAAGAAAGAGTTTATATAGGGCGGAAGTATTATAGAGAAAGGAAATATTGGTTTGTACTACAGTATGTTGCCCATATAATTCTCTGTCCCGTTTCTAGCATCTTAGCAACTCACATGAAACTGAGGTCTTCAGTGTGGTTTACCTGATTTTAGCCATCACAAAGCACAATTAGTCTGCACATCTTGTAGCCAGAAGTAGCACAAAGCCAGGTACCATAGCACGTTTTTTGTTTGCCTTCTTAAAAGAGGATTGGAAATATTTATGAAAAACAAGGCCATCTGGAGTTGTATCAGCAAGGTTAAAACCGGACTGATTTCCAAGGGGTCTCTCATGCTCCCAGGTATGAGTTGACTTCTAACTAGTGGGTACTGGTGAAGAGTTTATTTACAGAGCAATTCATATTTTACGCTATGCTATGAAGCATTTGTCATGGGATACTGTTGAAGAAGCATTGTGAGTTAGGAAACTTCCTTTCCTGGTCATCAAGGAGCAGCAGGAGCAAGGCTGCTCACCGAGGGGAACAAGCCAGGTTGGAGGAACCCTAAGCAATGGGCGCCATCCCACTGGGACAGAGCCAGGGACAGCAACGGGGTCCATCGGCACCCCCTGACGTGGCAAGCATGAACCTGGATCCACCAGGGGGGATTGACCAGGAGCTAAGGGGACAGAGAGGGGACTGGAGACCAGGAACGTGGGCCCAAAGTCTGTCCAAGAGAGGGACTGGAAATAGGGCCACCTGCGGTGTCAGTCAGAGGCCTGCCAGGAAAACCAGCCCCTCCGGCAGGCTGCAGGCAACAGAGCTGGGCACTTGTCTGACCTAGTTATCCTCATTGTCCCTTAAAAGCCTGCCAATAACGCTACCAATGAACAAAAACCTCACAGACTGTGAGGGAACAACAAGGCTTTTAGAAAACTTAGAATCCCCAGTCAGATGTGATTCTGGAAAAAAGAATGTCCTTTCATGGGGTTCTTCATACTCGTAAAAACCACCTCCTGCCAAAGGTAGCAGGATCTTTTATGGTAGTCCCTGTGCAAGGGCTTCACGAAGGAAATATTTTAAAATAAGTAAATAAATTGCCCCAGTGAATTTTTTTTTTAAAAGGTGTTAGTTTTGCAGGAAATCCTGTCTCACTTCGATGGATATACATGGCCTGAAAAACAGCAGAACCATTAGGTAGCAGAGGTGAGAGAAAGAGAGTTACATAAATACTTTACAAAGGGACACTATTCGCCCTGTGTGTATAGAGACTGCATGTACAGAAGGTTGCAGTCTTTAACAGAGATGTATAAAATCTCTGTACAAAGCACTCTTTCTATAGCTGTCCTTGAGACATGTCACAGTGCATCACTGTTGCTAGACAGATGCTAATCCTGTGTTAGCCAGTGTGTCCAAACCTGCCTCATCAAAGCAAGAAAGCCTTTGTCCACCACAATACCCTCCGCTGAAGGGGAAAAAAAGAAAAAAGAAAATAAAACCTGTAGGAAAGAAAATGAGCCTTAAAACTAGTCTTGAGAAACAACAGACCTTGGCTCTGTTAAACAGAGGGTGAAAAACTAGTTCTAGATAATGCAACTACTTTTCTTGAAGTTGTCCGGCCCTGGGAAGCAGGTGTGGATTTCCATAGGACCCAGCACGGAGGGAGCACTTTGACACCACCCTCACTTACAGATCACAGCAGATGGTTAGCTGGCAGTTGCACAGTTGCAAACCCATCCCATGTGCATTCACCCCCAGCCAGATGTACATATCAAGTCTTGTCTCTTTAGATACTGTATCTGCCAAGCTAAAGTACAATGAGCTTATTAATATATACAGAATTCAAAGTAGGGTGGGCCTTACAGGTCAAAATTAACCCAGAATTATTTCCGTGCCAAAGAGCAAAGCTTTGCCGAAGTATGGATTATGCCCTGGGCTAGACGTTCTGCAAACACTGGTTTATACCTAGCGAGTGCCGAGATTAAGGACAAAGAACTTCATCTGTTTGACTTCAGATCACCTGTTAAACAAATCCTTGGACAGCAAATCTGACACTGGATTTTGCTCTGTGTGGGACACTTACGGTTTAAAATACAGAAAGGTAAAGCCTGAGAAGTTGCCCTGGAGTAGCAGTGACCCAGACCACTTCTTTGGTTTCACGGTCCCCTTTGCTTGCTATTTTGGATTAAAACCTGTTTGATGCAAGGCAGCACTTTATTAAGAAATGTTTGCTGCCTTTTTTGTGGGCAGCTAGATGAGTTTTTGGGGCTGGCTTTTATCTGTCATCAATCAGTATGCAACGCTCCGTGGTAGAGTGCAATAAAGCAGTTCATCAGAGTACGATTTGTAATAGGGTGAAAGTATTTAGATACAGATTTCTCTGCCTGAGTGTGTGTGATGTTTCTGCCTACCGTCCATAATGAAACCCAAATGCAATAGTCGAGAATCTGTTTCTGCTCTAAGTGTTTAAGTCAACAGAGCTATGTCCTATTTTATCCTCAACATTTACTGCATGTTCTCTTTGAATACCTGGTTTGTACTATTTTACACTAAACTTTTTTTTTGGTTTAATAACTAGAACCCCAAAAGCCTTTTCCACAGCTAAAAGATCATTTGTGCCTTGCTTCCGCTGCATGAATAAGCTTTGTCTCCTGTGTGGATATAAGTTATTCTTAGTGCAGAGAGTGTCGTTATTCTAGAAAAGCAAGGCACTGGACCATATCCAAGCACTCAGAAACCACTGTGATAACAAAGAAGTCATACGCAGGGAAAGATAAGTACAGTTCTGTGCCATCTGTATATCACTGGCTTTTAAATCCAGTTCACTTAGTAGCTGGATGCATGTAGATGTTGAAAAGGACTAGAAAAAGAAAGGGTCTTTGTCTAATTGAAGAGTTACTTTGGATTCATGCCACCTGTCAGACTTGACATAAGGTCAACAGTGCCAAATACGGCAAAGATATTAAGGAGAATAAGAATGGTTTTCTCCCTTGTATCTATTGACAGCAACGGACCTTCTGTGCCAGTCATCCATCAGTGCCACTAAGACAGATTCAGCTCCCTGTCCTGGCCTGTATCTGTACTGTCTGTGACCCTAGATTAGTATGGATAAACTTGTAAGTGGGTTCTCTATGAGCTTGCTTTAGAATATTAGGTTTGATGGTAGGTGGTAGATGACCTGAAATGATGTATTCAGAAGAGGTTATTCAGAAGAAAAAAATGAGATTAGGTACTGCCAGCAACACTGTAAGATTCCCTCCCTGCATTAAACATTAGCTATTTCTGGCTAGATAGTAAAGCAGAGTACATAAGGATAACATGAGTCACTAGATCTTTGACTCCTTGTCCCAAAGGTGCAATGTTACAAAACTTTAAGCAAGCTTTCTAATTTGTTGGAGTCTGAGAATACTTGTACCAGAACCACCAAGTTTGGGAATAGCCAGGGGAGTCTCCACAGAGGACTACTGCACAGGCGCCTGAACACAGGAGAACTCTGTAACACCTGTAAAACCACCTTGTCCTGGTGACAGACAACAAAAATAAGTCAATTTGGTTTGTGTTTTCATGCTACGTTGTTGTAGATGGCCCATTCTTCAGGCAAGCTGTTAAGAATAGGCCAACAAAATGGTCTTATCCTCTGTGATTCTGATTGCACAACAAACAGAATTAAACGAAAGGACAATCAGTGAAATGGTGATGGGGTACCAGATGTCAAACCTTTCTTTTTTCCTTCCTTTAGGCCTTTAGCTATGGCTGATTTGAGAACCTTTAATTCAGTGTAGGAGACCTCACACACCATAGAAGGTTCCCCATGATTTCAAGTGCAGTTTTTCTTGTGCTCCTTTTGACATGGCTCAGGATCAAACAACATTAATCTCAAGTCATCTAGCAAAGTGTCTACATTTCTTTCTACTGCAGTGAGAGCTGTGGAAATAGGAAGACATTAAAATGACCAGATTCTAATATACTGTTTTAGAGACCAAGTAGACTTTAAACGTACATGCCAGTTTCGTTTCTGAATTTAATTTAACTGAAGGAAATATCCCTGTCTCAAAATTAAATATTCACATCCATTATTATTCTCGGACTAGGGACAATAATTTAAATTAATATCAAGATGCATTTTTAAAAATCATCAATCTGCCATCTTAACTACATTATTTTGTACCTTCAGGCACTTGTTGTAGTTTTTATGAACATGATTCAAATAAATTGGCTCTTTTTCCTCAGTGGCTTCTTTAATTACTTTGTTATTATCCAAGGAACTGGTTTAATTTAAATGAACACAGTGTTCCTGCTACTACTACCCAGAGAAAACACAGACTCAGAACATGCTGTTTTGTAGTTACAGTGTATGTCTCTGCATGTGGATGCCAAAACTGGTCTGATCTTATCTATTTACCTACCTTTGTGTGATCCAAGCCCAGGTCCTACCAAGCCAGCGTAATCACTTATCCTGAACACCTTCTTATGGGTCTTTCCAGATAAAGAGCAAAGGTAATTAGGCAATTAGATTAAAGGACACTTTTACCCAATGTTTATTTCATGCCCAGACTACAGAGTTACTTCGTCTTACCCAGGGCAATGTTCTCCTACCAAATATTTGTGTATTTTTAATCACGTAAGTGTGTGTAACAAATAAACACAACAAATTAGCAATATTTGCCCTGTTATGTCCTTACATTTCTGTTATAATAATACGGCTTGGTTACACCGTTCTATACATAGGTGTAAGATTCCTCCTCCCCCTCCTTTTGGTGTCTTTCCAACGAAAGTACATAATAAAATACATAAGACGGTGGTTTTTCAAAAAATACAAGCAAACATTGGTACTTCATAAAATATTTAAAGACCTTACAAAAGCGCAAAACTGTATTTCATTTCCTGAAATAGTTATAGTTTCAAACTCCATCTATTTGTTTTAAACCAAATCCATATGTGTTTGAGGCAGTTTTAATCTGTGGAAATACTTTACTTTTGGTTGGCCTGCATGAGTGAACACTAAGTATGAAGCAACTAGTATGGTAAGTCAGGATATTGAGAAGAAATTGTTACATCTCAAAAAGCAAATTGTTAAAGTCTGAGCAATTTCAGTTTTCATTTTCTTCTGTGATTAAACATCAGCTACGTGACAGTAGTTTGCAGTGATGGCCTAGGTAACCAGCATATTTTGATTTCCATATGTGTTTTAATGATAAGAAGTCTTCCTTCTGCTACAAAGCTGCCATTTTGTGTTCCTTTCCTCCACAAAGGACATGTGCACAGTGATTTTTTAGGGTAGTGCTCACATATACGGCCATGGAGACCAAACCATCCCACAGATTATTTACTTTTGTTCTTCCTTCATTGTTTTCTCAGTACCAACAGGAACTCTGACAAACTGCTCAACACGTAAGTGCTTTTTTTCTGCACTGAGGAGCACAGCAGCACTTAGAAAGCAGCTCCCAGTTACAGGTCTCACAGCACAGACACCTCGGGAAGTCATTTACAGAATACGTGAAATGCATCCTCTTGGTTTAACGGCATTTCACACCATTCTTGTACAGACAAAAATGACTGCACAAAATACAAGTCAGAGGAGAACCAGGCTGTGAGGCTCGCTATACTTGATCTGTACTTGCTCTAGATGACAACTCTGCTTAGCCCTGATGCATCTCCAGCATTTGATCTAATTTCATTTGCTGTTAGTCCATTAATATTGTCATCACGAAATCAGAGGGAAAGGCAAGCACAAGGAAGACTGTGTGATTATTTTCTTTTTTAATGTGATCTCTGCTGAGCATAAGGTTTATATTTGCTTAATTAGGAGTTCACTATAAACATTAACGACCCTAAGGCCAACCTGATTTGTTTGAGAAAGGTAATAAATTATCTGCCAGAACAGTTTGATCTCTGTATAGAAGTCTTACTCCAGCTGGAGTCTGACTACATCCCAAGCTTCCCATCGGTTCATCTCACACTTCTTTTACTGCATCACAATTCCTCTTGCATAAGCCTGAAACATGTCAGTCAGAAAAAATATAAAAAGTCTCGTCTTTCCTTTGCAGACTGATGCTCTGCTGCCCACCGCAGTGCTATATTCTGAACAATCATGGCTTCTTGAGACTACCAGTATCGTGTCAAGATCCTGAAAGAAATAATTAGATGCCAACTTTGGATAATAGAGTATTTAAAAATCAATTAGCCTTAATGGGAATACTTCGCAAGTTTTCTCATGATTCTGCTGTTTGACACAATGTGTTGAAGTGTGTCTCACAGACAAGTAATAGCCCAGTATCTCACGGGAAAGTGAAGCCTCCACTGTGATGTACTAAGAGTGCATTTTACTGCTTCTGGAGTCCATTCATTTCTTGCCATACCAGCGTCAATGAACTTCCTAGCTGCTGTCAGTGTGTTTAGTGCACATGTCAAGCCAGCACTGTGCTGGCCCTGACATCAAACAAACTGGCGGCAATCAAGATATTACCTCGAGCTGGCAAGGAAGAAAAATAACAGGAGCCTATAAGGAGCAATAACTGAAACACTTTCTTTATCGACCACCCCAAGTTTTCTGTAATCTTGTGCCCACGTAATAATTAATCTGCTACAGATGATGGCATGAAGAGTGTTGAGAAGAAACAAATTATATCTTTTGCTTCATGCTCCGTGGAAATTCATTTTAAACTTGAGGTGTTCACAGGCACATTCTGCTTTCTCATTTCCCAGGGCCTGTCTGGGAGCCAGTCTGGTCAAATTTTGTCCCCCTGTTGTAAGTGCCTCCTTGAATGCCTCTTACCCCTAGAAGGCAGATTACACACACAGCACTGCTGTTTTGACAGGTAATTGGAGCAGCTTTTGGCTTTTTTTTCCCCCCTTGCTGCTTTCTCTCCGATGACCTGATGTTATATGAAGAGGCTGGTGACTGGCTGGTGACTGGCCACCTCTAGAGGAAGGAAAGAAAGCAAAGAACCACAGAACTTCAGCTACTTTGCCCATTCTCTGTTTGGTCCCCGGGCCTGAGATTAGAGCCTGTGAGATGTAGGAGCCTAAGGACGAGTTCACTCCTCTCCTTGGGAGAACCTGAGCCTGTTTGTTTGTTCCAGGGAACCACCTGAACTAGCAGGCAGTTGAGTTTTCCAAGGCACAGCTTTTCCTAAGCCTTCCTGTTAACACTACTCCAACTCTTACAGGATACCCGATCTCACGTCCTCACCCACCCCCCCCAAAATCATTGAGCTAAAGAAAGGAAAGGAATTTCAAGTCTGGTGTCTGAGATACAACGGGGAGATGAGACATCTGGATTTCACAACCCAATCTAGTGAATGTTCCTTCTTTTTTTTACCCACAGTAGCACAGTGCCAGACAGGCTGATCAACCAGTTTCCACACTGCACACTGCAGGTCCTCCTGGGAGATGGAAAACCAGAGCCCGGTCCCTTAAGCAGCAATTGTCCTTCTATGTCTTAGGCAAGGGCTATAATTGCTGGTTCATGGATAGAAGAGGATAAAGGAGAGCCCCAGCCCTACCTTCTCCCCTGGTATTTGGCAACGTAAGCACCTCTTCCACAGAAAGACAAACCCAAAGCAAACAAACAAATGACTATTGTATTCCTTGTTCAAATCTACTTGATGTTTTGTTCTTGTTGTTTCCTAAAATGCTTTTTTCTGTGGAACAACTTTGATATATTTTAAACATTTCAGAAATTAAACATAATGGCTGTTCATATAATAGATAAATGTTTGTCTGTTATATGTACTAATACTTCAAAGATACTGCATGGATAAGAGAACCACAAAGAATTTTTTAAAAAATGCTTCATAAGCTAAATAAACAAAAACACATATATAAATCAAAAATAGTATAAATCAAATTTTGTCTGTGGGGTGCCCTTTCAAGCATCAGAGCGTGGGAAGAGACTGCTGTGAAACATTAAAAAAAATAGCTCTATTTGCATCATTTCAGTGGCTCCAAACAAAACAGCCATCATTGCATGAGATGAATAAGGTTTTTTTTTCCCTGTCATTTCGCCTGGCGCTTTCTGACATTAGCTCAAACTTTAAGCAGCACTCCGCCAATCCTGCAGGACTATCATATCTCTTTGGTCATAAAATAAATAAATAAGCAAACTTACCCAGATGCAACAGAATATCTGCTTTAAATGGGTTGCTCAGAGATCTCTCCCTGAAGTTAGTTTCTCAGGCTTTTAAGTGGGTAGCCTTGAGCTCATATTTCTCTTTAAGTACTGACGCTATGAATCACCTTGAAGAACTTTTAAAAAAAAAGAAAAAGAAAAAATAGACATTTTACAGATGTACTAAAAATGAAAAATGGAGTTCCTTCTGGCTTCTACTGTCTGAAAACTGTCATCTTTTCTTCTTCTTCTTCTTTTACTTTATAGACTTAAGGAATAAGTATTTGCCAGGGTTTGGCTAGCAAACATTTGTATACTGAAACACCGCTTATAACTTGTCCTTTACTCCTCTTAGCAATCAATTCTTTTGCTAATTTGCATAGTTATGATGACACAATACCAAACGAGCTGTAAACCCTAGTTCTATCTGCCTTCATTCTCCAGTATTTATCATTCACGTATATTAAAAAAATACTGCTTTGAGCTGTGCAGCCTGGACCCTGAGAAACAAAGTAATGGTGGTACGGTCATTTATACCTGAAGTGTATTAACAGATAGAAGCAGATCACTCAGGTGGACTAAACTCCCTCTCCATGGCTCCATCATGTTGATGGCTGTTTAGAGGGTTCATATAGTGCCACTACGGTGGACTTACCAATAAAGCTGGCCTGCAGTAGAAGGGGGACTCCCAATTCCAAGTCCACTGCCTTGAACATAGAGCCAACTCTTGTTCTCTAGTCTTTCCATCTCTTCTCCACTGTGGATAGAGTCATGCAGGAGGTTTGATTTTGAGTCAGTACATTACCATCTGTTACTGTAAAAGAACAATGTTTGGAATGGGGTGGGGGGGAGCTGTTCCTATTTTGAAGTGATTATCTTTAAATAAGGATTTAATTTCGGGCTGGGGGGAGAAAAAAAAGGCAAAAAAGGTAGGAATGTAAACTAATTGTATTGCTAGCAGAAAACACCACGACTTTATTTAAGCAGCCGAACTTGTTCAAACATGGAGACATTTTCTGTTCTGTAGTTAACAAGGAGTTAAATTTGAGATATTCTTTCCTCATTTCCCTTGCAAGCACAGTAAGACAGTAAGAACTGCTAAGGAGACAAAGGACGGGAATATCTGGTGGAAGGCATCCAGCCGATGCCCAGACTGGATAGGCTTTGTTTGTTACTGTTTGGCTTCCTGTTCTGATTTGTTTTCATGGAGGTTTTCTCCTTCTGCCTGGGCCTTCTCTGCCTGTTGCCTGTTTTGCTTCTGCTTTAGAGCCCTACCAGGTTTCAGAGTAGTTGTGCTGTCCTTGAACCATTGCTGCATCACTGGGCAAAGCCAGTGATGGCCCCGTGGGATAGTGAGGGACTTTAATATCCCTGTAGGGTGCTTGGATCAAGACTAAGGCTCTAGATGTACTGAAGGAGAATGCCTTTTCCCCTGTGATCTGCCCATGAGCGATTCTTGCCATACAGAAGCTCAGAAGAGGAGGGGGACTGTTTCACCTCCAATACAGGATCTGGCATTGAGTCAGCTTGTGGGGATGGAATGCAGAACAGGAACAGAATAAATTAATCTGAAAGGAGCTCTTGTGCCCAGACAACAGGCCTATAGGCAGGCAAGAGAAGCTGTACATTTATATGCAGCGTGGAGGGTTGGCGAGGCTGCACTCCGGGCTTCAAGCGCTCTCTTGGTTAGACTTCAACATGACAGACAGCCATGAGGTGCAGACACAGATGGGAGATGTAGGCATTCTTCCTCTGAGAGGACTGAAATAGCTCCTGACATTCAGAGAGCTGCACTAGGGATGGACACTTCACAGAGACTGGAGTAGAAATCACCATGGCTGAATGCGAGGCAGGTGGGGAACATGGAAGAAACTCGATTTCCTTGAAAAAAGGCTGAGCACCCCCTGAAAGGCGACAGCTCTCCTGGCAGATTTGCCTGCCAGGCTGGGAGCCCCAGGAGCTCCTCAGTTGTGGTTCCTTTCATTGCAATGGATCCTTTCCACATGTTGTGCCCTTCCTGCCCCTCCCAAAATGCCAGGATTAGAGAGAAGGGCCAAGAGGAGGCACTTCTCTCCCACCTGAGAGGAAGAAGGTAAGCTGTACTCCTTCAAAATCTGCTTCTACTGTAGGCGCCGGCACAGTGAAGGGATGATAGCTTCTCTAGAGAGCAGCTGAGGCATTAGGAGATTCAGTATCCTTTTTCCACGCTCAGATTCAGGTACATCCTCCTACTGCCGGTAGGCAGCAATGTCAGGGTGCTCCAGGTACCACCAACTGCCAATCATGGAAGAGCCTTTTTATTACTCCTCATGTCACAGGAGCGCTTCACACATCTTCACCTAAATTAGATCCAAGCCATTTATCGAAATAGATGTTCAGGGCTGACTTTAACGAATGAAATATTGCAGGCTTGTACCAGCGTGGTACCCTGTACAAATGGATTAGGAATCCTCTGTCCATTAGATCATCCCTTGCAATGATCACACTTGCAAAAAAAAAGATCACACTTGCAATGTGAATTTTTCTTTTCCTGGATACAAAGTTTTGCGGCTCCACATATTAGGCTGCCACTGCCCTTGTGGTCCCAGCTTGTTTTGTGAGCCATGGACCAAAGAAGAAGCAAAGAGCAAGCTTAGGTGGAGTAGAAGTGCCTCAGATTGGGACTCATTAAAAACAATCACTACTGGATGCAGGCTAGTGAGAAAACTGGTACCCAGTGCTGTCCTCTTCTTTTCCAAATAAAAGGAAGAACAAGGAAAACTAACAGCCAGCAATGAAAGATGGGTAAAAACCTTCATAATCTTCCTTGGACAAGTCTAGTACTACTTAATCACTGCTTCGGCAGCTACGCTGTGAAGGAACGACACATACTCAAAACCTGTGGTAACTCACATACAGTACAGCAAATACCAGCAAGAATAGTAATGAGAACTCACACATTCATTGCTCTTTCATTCAGACAGGTTCCAACAAACTCTGTCTCAGAATTTCTTACAAACTCTCTCTCAGAGAAATACTTTGTCCAAATTCAAATGTAGCCAGTCCTGGGCTGGAGTGAAGAACGTGTTTAGCAGTGTTCAGAAGTCTTAGAAATAAAGAGTCTAATGAAAGTACGGTGAGATTTCCACATAAATAGAGTTTTAAAAAGCCAGAGTGAACAACATCAGAGCCACTGCAAGTCCGTAGCACCTGAATTTTTATATTGCCCTCACAATTGCCCATTTTACACTTCCATTTCACCTTCCTTGAATTTCTGAGATAGATAGATTAGTGAAATGAACCTTGAATGTTATATTCTGAAACGGCTATAACACAATGCCTGAACCGGCACATATACTGCAAGCTTTTCTTCGAACCCCAACCCCAACCCCAACCCCAACGGACTTGTCAGCAGTTTCTATCATTAGCAACATAATCCCTCCTCTCTCCTGCTCTCTCTTTTTATGTTTTCCCAGGGCTGCACCAATAATGAATAATTTACCAGTGTGGAGAAAGAAAAGTGTCACTACTGGAGTCTCAAGGCTCATCACTCACAAACCTGTCACATGGTCAAGAGTCATCAGTGCCATTATTTGTGTGAAGAGAAATTAGCACTAATCTACTGCTGAGCCTCTTGCTTCAAACACTGTAAATGGTGCCAGAGTCTTAACAGAGCAGATTGTCTGTGCCACTGCAAATTGCTTATCTCAGTAAAGTTTTTTTTTTAAAACAAGTCATCTTCTCACTCACTTCACAGAGGACATCCTACAGGTATTAAGAATTAGAGGACAGGCACTGTAATACAAAGGACTTTTACTTTTTCCTCACTGGAGAAGTGTAAAAGATTTGCCTCTCTGCTATTAACAAAGTCATTGAACCTGTAGAGAGGATTTCAAGCAAGACATTTCAAAATGTATAGTATTTTCCAGAAAGGAAATATGACTTTTCATGTCATACAAGAAGCATGTGAATGTTAAGATTTGAATTTTAGGAAGGAAATGAAATGCCCTGTACTGAACTATTAAACATAAACAACGCACAAAATAGAACAAAATGGTGTCTTGAGTAAATAATCAGGGCAACAATGAGAACTATTGTACTATGAGTGGCTTCCTTCCATGAAAGAAAGGAAGAGATCAGTAATGCCTTTACTTTGTTTCAGTAGTCATTTCCATCCATGAATGGAGAATTTCAAAACTGCCACCCTCAGCACGCTTCTGGAACACCTCCCATATGAAATCTACAGTAAAAGCAAAGCTCCAATCAGCCCAGATCGTCATCTCTGCAGAAGAAGTGACAGCTGGGGCTTGGAGGCAGAAAATCCCACAATCCCTCAAAGAGGCCTCAGTGGATCTCTTCAAAGGGTGAGGTTCGCACTCCACCAGGGACCAACCCCCACATCTGGCAGAGTTCAAGAAGAGCTTGTTGTAAAAAAGACAGGAGAAAAATCTGGAAGTTGCTTCAATCTCTAAAGGTTTGAAATGGATTCATTTTCACTCTCTCCCTTCTTTGTTCAAAATAATTTTACAATTTTAATTGCTAGCAAAATAGCTACTGAAAGTCTTTGTAAATGAGGAGTGGCAAGTGGAAAATATAATCTTTTGGATTAGGAGAAATGCTGGCTTCAAATCAGAAAAATGCCATTATAAAGCAAAACTCAGAAGAACAAATTCTTTTGATCAGAAAAGCACTTACTTTTTTTTTTTTTTTAAATCTTACTTTTTCTCACTGTGAGAGGATCTACAGGGAGCCAGGTCTCTGGCCTGGCTCTGTGCCCAGCAGCCAGCCTTTAATACTGCCCTCACACTTTTCCTTGGCAGCGAAGCTCCACCAAAACACGCTCTTGGGGCACCCCCCAGCTATGGCAGCCTGCATAATCCCCAAAGTGGGAGGCTACATGAAAAACATAACACTGCCTTGGGCTGTATTATAGTTTGCACCTAAGATCCTCCAAGGACAGTATACATCCTCCCATCACAAATTCACCTCGCCTTAGCTTTGAAGGCCAGTCTCTGTTTCCACCGTAACCTGCAAGGAGATTTTGTTTACTCTTGAGAAAAACAAGCAGAAATGCTGTGGCTCAGAGACGAGTCCCCTGTCACAGCTAGGATATCTTGTGGAAGCACTCCTTAGTGCTGGGATCCGGAGAGACCCCAATAGTATCCAGCTCTTATGTGAATATCTGTATCCAAACAGCAACACAAAACCTCAAAAACCTACTCAGATAGCAAGTCTGGATTTTAAAACCCTGAAGATCTTTGGGCCTTCTTCTGTGATTTTTCATCGTTTGTCTTTTTTTTTCATTAATTAAAAGGGTGTTACAAAGGCAGAATTTCACAAAAGTCTTCTGTCACTTGTGCGCTAATGATGTACTCCTAAAGTGTATTTTTGACTGAATCTCCTTGAGTCCTTTTCCAACAGTTACCCCCTGCACTTGTCTGTATTTTGATCATATTTGCCACTCCCATGAATCAGCCGTTATTAAAAAAATTAGCAAGTCAGCAACACAAGAGTCCTCCAGACTCTCCCTCCTTCTCAGGTTCTTTCTTCTATTATTTCATTCATCTGTTCCACTAAAGCCTCCATGCAGTTATTTCTCCCGAATCAGCACACATCAGCTGCCAACAAATCCACCCCCGCTCTGTACTCTCTGCATCCTCTGTGCCCAAGGCTGACTCTCTTCCCCAAGGCCAAGGTTTCTATTACTCATCACATCCTTACCAAAAGGAATGACCTACTTTCCAAG